TTAGTCATGCATGTCATAGTAAACTTACTCTTTTGTCAGTTTCAACTATTTGTCGTTTTTATCTTTCAGTCTTTCAAATTCAACCAGTATTTTAAAGATACAACCCCTGGTCTCATGCACTAAATTAAATGATTACATTTAATGCAGACAGATGGCTTTATATTTCATCTGTCTTAAATCGTAAAACTCACTGTGCAGGCGTCCTTCCCTCCAGCACTGACCCCTGCACACAGCATGCTAGAAGTCAGCTGAGGATACGTGGCCTTGCAGGTAGTCTGGGGCATGATGGGAATCTTCAGCTGTTGAAGGGTTTCTGGATTCGGCAGTGGAACTGCACAGACGCACACAGAGAATAAGTGCATTTGTGTTGTTGTGCAAAGTCTGGAAATACGTATGAGTGTTGAATTTATAAACAGGTGTTCCTGAGATATTTCCTTGATGATGAGATTGTTAGTTCAACGAAAAAAAGTAGGAGGAGCGTAGGAGAGGAGGAGGTGGTGTTTTAAGTAGCAGTGGTGCAGCTGTTAAGGCTTGAGGCTACTGATCAGAAGGTCGGAGCTTCAAGACCCAACACCACCAAGCTGCCACCGTTAGACCCCCAAACCTATCTGGTCCGGGGCGCTGTACTGTCTGAGCTCTGCCTGCAGCTTTCTAACAAGCTGGAATATGAGAAAACACAATTTTCTTTTTAGGATCAACACAAAAATAATATTATTTTGATGATTTTGTGATGGATTTTAGCGTGCAAAGTCTGGCCTGTATGTTTGGTCACATGTACAAGAGCAGAATTTGTAAACAGCTGTTGATTTCCAGAGATATTTCCTTGATAATGAACTTGTCAGTTCAATATCAAAATATATAAATCCATGAAGGGTTGGGGTGGGGAGGGGTACAAGATTCATGTCCTCAGTATTTCTAAACTCCTGGCTGCAGCCCTGGTTATTATCGCGTTACCCAGATAAACATCAGTCCAAGACAAGATGTTGGTGGAAGTGTGACACTCTACAATGTGTGTGTTCTGCTCTGTGGACTGTATGAACTTACCACCAGTCCCAACCTCCCCCCAGCCAGTGATCCAACACTCAGACGAGGAATCGAAGGTGTCGTCGACGCTGGGCAGTTTCACCGGAGCAACAGTCTTTGAGAACGTCACCTGTTTCTTCAGCTTGACCAGGGCGATGTCGTTGGCGTTGCTCAGGGCCCGGTAGTTAGGGTGGGCGACGACAGTATTTATGCCCATGTAACGGACAGCTCCCCTCCGCAGCTGGTTTGGGCCGATCCAGACCATTGATTTCCACAAATCGGGTTTAAGTGGTCTGGCAACACAAACACACACATGAATTTATGGTTGACCTTCTCTTAACTGTAGAAAATATACAAAACATCCCCCATATTCTAAAGATGAACGCAGGTTCAGCAGAAGCGAGACATCAGTCGAATGTTTTGCTCTTTGTTAGTCTGATTTAAGCATAGTTTGGACTTTGTGCCGTGAACTCTCCCAACTTAATAGAGACTGCTATGTCTAACTTATCTAACAATTATTCAATGTCGACTCCATTTTGTTTAATCAGATGGCCAAAAAAAATCGAGTGTAAACACCTCAACAACCAGGAAGGCAGATCATCTAAACACAGTGAACTATCCTGTCTGAAAAGCTTTCCTAAATCGTTCCTTGTATTTCCAACAGTTGAAATACAAGGAGACTTCTAAAAGTTCTTGGTCTCACTCAGAAACAAGGGGCGTTACTCTCATTTGGGGCGTAACTGCATGCTCTAAAGCCTTATTATATCACTTTCCACAAAAACTCAAATGTTTCTCGTCATTTCTTTGCAGATGACACCCTTTAAAGTGGAAATGAAATGTGCATGTTTTTAGCAAATCAGTCGGTGAAAGGGAAGCCGAAAATGGAACAAGAAAGAAGCCCGAGCTGGGCACTGATGTCCAGGATGTCTGCTAAGTGTTGGACAGTCACACGTCTATCTTCATGAGGTGAAAGGCCTCCACTTGATCGTCGGTGGTTTTAGTTTTCATGGACGGTGATATCCAGATTTATAAAGTGAACAGTTGTGCCCCAACATGGGAGATACACCCCTTGTTCGTAGTTGAGGCAGAGAATTTTTTGAAGTACCCGTGTAGTTCAGTTTTCGGAACATATATTGGTATGAGCGTGGTCTGCTCAGAGTCTGTTGTCATTTCAGTACAAAATAGCTTGCTTCAAATGATTTAATATTCTGCACATACTATTTTTAAAGTTGATTTACAATTATTTTAGGTTATCAGGGCTAGCAGGTGGACGATTTGGTTCATCTCGTGATAACATGGGGATGTTTTCCCTGCAACCAGTCGATTGGCTCACGAGCAGGCACAGTTTTAAGATTGCGTTCGGTTGACGAGAGTCCTGTCACCTACAACAGCCTCAGTTTGAAGCAGCACACAGGAGAACTGTGAGAAAATGTTTATAAGATGTACACAGTAATCGGCTCCCTATAACACTTCATGTGAGTATTTTCAAAAAGTGCCACACATTTAATGATTTCATTCATCAGTCAATGTGTTTTTATTCTGTATGATCTCTGGGCCACTTCAAAAAACGTCTGAAAACACAAACTCACACTTACCCAGCCACGCAGTCCGCAGCAGTCAGTACCCATTTGCTGTTGAGGAGAGTGCCGCTACAACGCCACCTAGCGCTGCGGTCAGATGTCGTCATGTTGAGGTGGACCATCCACGGCCAGCTGCCTACTGGAGCATCCGTCCCCCCGATGATGGAGACTGATACTGTCCTCATGTAAGTACAGTGAACAGCCGTCAGGTAGCGTAGCTTAGCATAAAGACAGCCTGGCTCTGCCCAAAGGAAACAAAATCCACCTTGCAGGCAATGATTTGTTTTTGTAGTTTTTTCATACTTTTTGCAGCAACACACAGAGAAAGCTGTTTTTAGTCTTTATTCAAAGTTCATCTGGAGCCTTTAGCTGCTGCTTCACATTGAACCAACAGATATGACAGCAGCATCACACTAATGTTGAACCTTTTTTAAAAAATCTAGCATGTCCTGCTTTCATTCTTAGTAAAACAGACAGAAATATAATCATAATAAAAAGAGCAATTTTACAGGTTTTGCCATAAAACACATACAATTTGATATCACATGTAACGCTTTCTAAGAGCATCAGTCTGTCAAGGCAGCACAGAGATTCTACCAGCAAGAGTTGGTAAAGGGAAGTTCAACCTTTCTCCAACTGAATACAGATGAATCAACAGAAGATAATTGTGTTCCTCACCCTCAGTGTTGTGGATCAGCACCAGCACAGACAGCAGTTTGCAGAAAGTCATGGCTGTGACGGAGCTCAGAGTCTCTGTGACTCTGCAGGCTGTGAAGGAACAGCTGCAGCTTCATATGAGAGATGAAGCTCTTATCAGACACTATCAGCCTTCACTTAACGTCTCAGACCAAGCTGGATGAGAGTTTATGAAATCATTTAAGCTATTTTATTAAAAAAAAAAAAAAAAGACTGTGCAGTTAAAGATATCGACATCAACAATCCATTTTATCCAAAGAGTTTTTAAAAAAATGACATACAAATACACACTGGTTAATGCAGCTACTTTACGTGACGTATTTTCAATGATGTGTTGATAAAGGATTGACAGATATTTTTAAAACCGCTTCCTTCTCAGCATTTTAAAATGTTGTATCTGATGAAAAGTGAGAGCTCCCATCATCCTGGTGATTATCAGCAGCATGTGATCTGAACACACAGCACAGCCTTTAGAGTTTAACATGCATGAAGGTTCTTTGGTTTTTCTAAATGACTTGTAATTCAATTTTCTGCAGTTTTCTTTAGCTTAAGATTTGCTTTTTACGTCACTTATTTTCTTTTATCAACTCAGCGTCAAAATACTTTCATTTCTCCTAAATTGGATTTTTGTTTTTGCTTCTTCTCTTCATATTTGATCTGATTTGTTTTGGGGCTGTATGTCTGTATTCTCCATGTTTTATGTGCCATGTAAGGCTACTGTCTTTTCAGGACACTGCTGTAAAATATATTTTTAATGTCACAGAGGTCCTTTCCTGGTTAAACAAGGTCCTAAATGTACACAAGGGGGCAAGTAAATATATTGGGTTGCAGTTTCTGCTTTAATTGTATTGAAGGTGAAACTAATGTGTACAATTCATTTCAAGTGTATAATGTCATATTACCGCCGGGCTTAACCTCCTCAGACCTGGTGGACATCACATTTTGGGTTATGTTACCACAGCAGTTCATTTTTTTTT